AGGCACACCACACTTTTATCACCATGGGTGCCGAGTACCTTCTCATTCTCCATGTGATGGTGCCCGATACACTCTAGCTAAGTATCTATAGCTCATTCAATACGGAGCCATGTTGTACATTAACCCGCCAACAGAACCTCAACACTTCCATTTACTACAAGCACATTTGTTGTTGCAGGCATGGCTTCCCATTCCTAACACAAGTCCCCACCTCACTTACATCAAGAAAGCAACGAATAAAGACTGAAAATAGTAATAAGTGATAACAATAATGGCCCCTTAGCTAGCTTTCCGCCAGTATTAATTTCCGAGCGCCATGTTCATGTAATTACTGATTCTACCATATATACATATGTTGTGCTCTGCTGCCAATAATATAATAATCACTCTTAAAACTTTCCGGAATAGAATGCCGCTACCGCCCACCAAAGCGGGTGCATGGCATGCCGCTTTTATTTATTACAGAGAGCAATGCCCCCCCGCCGCCGCCGCGGAGTGGTTGGCCACTGTGCCGGTGGCCGGCATGGTCTAGTCTCCGCCGCAAACGCATGTCACGTGGTCTCATACTTACATTGTCGATCATTGATCACACCCGCTCTCTTTCATGCTCAATGTCTTCCCATAGCCCAACCCCATTAAGATGCCTAATGCCCATCAATCTCTCCTTGATCTCAGCTCAGATGATAGCCTAGCCCGCTTCTACAAACCCAAGCTTTCGAGGCTTAAACACACACTTACAGCCCCTTGCATTTAAGCCCAACGCAGATTGTTGGAGACTTGGAGTGCTTGTATAGAAAGCAGGGTATTCGTTCTGTATGGATACAATCGAAGCTTCAGGATTGGGCTCTATAGGTTTCAAGACCACGTGTCTAACAACTGATAGTTAGTCGATGACAAGCGGGAGCCATGTATATATTTCCATTTTGAAAAATGTTAGTTCCAATTTCTACATAAATTATATGAGTATTATTTAAAAGGGCTCACACTAGGAAACCTGAACTATAAAAAAAGTATCATTTGTGTTCCAAACTATTCAAGATTCCAAAAATATCCCAACCTATGATAGTTTTGTATCATTTATGTCATGACAATTTCGTTCACCGTTAAATATAACGGTTGACCAGACAGTGGTCAAGGTGATTTTGATTTTTGTTGATGTGGCAAAAATTAGAATGTCACATAGATGTCACTTCATTGCCACTTAAGATTATTTATTTCAAAATTAAATAATATAATAAACAAATGAAAAAATAAAAAGTATTCTTTTCATCGAGTTCGATGCCGTCAAATTGCAATTTCGCTATGGTGCACATAGGAGTTTTTATGTGCATCTGCACACTGAGCATTCGTTGGTCCACGTCGCTCAGGCTGAAAATAAGTGGCCAGAAATTGCCTGCTGAGGGACGAGCTCCAAAGGCTTGAAAGCAGCTAAATGAAGCCGCTTAGCCGAATGAAATCGGAAAAAGAGGGACCAACAGAGAAGGCTTTTCACTCTCTTCCCATTTCAATTCCTCGTCTCTCTCCGATTCCACCTCCTTCCCTTCCCTTCTCTCCCGATTTCTTCTTCGCCCTAATCTCTTTGTCACTGCAATTGTAGTCGGAGATATGAAATTCTAAAGTACTGACTGGTGCAACTTGTTGCATGCCGCAAGGGGTAAACCTCCGCCCATCATCCCCATACCTTGTCGCGTCGCCGATGGTCCTATCCTCCAATCAGACATGACGTAAGTCCGACCGCCTTCTCCGTTCAACTCCTTCCGCTGCTCGTTCTAGGGAACGAAAAACGTCCACCTTACCGCCTTCTTTTGTCGTCTCTTTTTCCGTTCTCCAGCTTTGGCGACTTCATCGTTACCTCCTCGAAAGCATAGCTCTATCTGAGCGTGGATCCATTCGCCCAGCCTCCTCGTCAGCCATCTCCAGGTGGATTATCCTACTACTCTGCTACTGGCTAACCATTTTGTCTAGAATAGGTTTTGGATTTTCTCGGTTTGATTCGCTATTCCTCTCTTAATTTGTGAATCGACTGGGGGTGTTCTCTGGATTATTTTTTCCAGGGGAAGAAGATTGTCTGATTTCTACTATTTGCGTGATTTCCATCTCCTTTGGACTTGGGTTCTTATTTACATTGAAGGTTTTCAGTTTACAACCTACATTTGAACTTGAGTGAAACTATCTACTTATACAGTGTATGGTGGTTTGATATATTTTTCCTTGGAATTCAAAAACCATGTTTTCTTGGATATGATCTGTAGGACACTTGCCTATATGCACAATTGCTTATAGAGTTGCTTGTTCTAGTGTGGGATTTGGATGGCTAAATTTTAGCAGCCAAATCATTGATACAGGGGGGAAAATGAATGGTAGTGTTGGAGCTCAGCTTAGTTACCCTATAGAGTTTCTTGTCACTTAGCTCTAGATCATAAGCATATGTGCTTATTGACACTGCCTTGGGGAGCTGCTGCAGAATTCACTTCATTGGTTATACAGTCTTAGGTTTCTGATTGCTAGAGTGGGGAAACGGAATCACTTTGTTGTCTCAGCATTCCTCTGGAAATTGAAGCCATTGGATAGCTTGTGGGACGGTCTATGCCAAATAAGAAAATGCTTTGTTCTGTCTCATTTACTGTTGTGGTCTAATGGTTTACAAGCCTTTTTAGTCTTAGGATGGAAGCGTACTAAATTAACTTATCTAGCTTCCGTTTGTTTCCTGACTTCGTTTCATTGTGTTGTTACTTCTTTTATGGCTTTTGTTCTTAAGTTTACTTTAATTGGTTTCTTTGTACGTTGTGGTTTCTTCCAAGTAGTGCAATATGTATATAGACTTTGTGGTAAATGATTTGGATCTATCCAGTTTTGGGAAGAGATTCTTTGGTTTATTTTCATGGGATTTTATCATGTTAGGTAGCGTTATACATTCCTGAATAGAGTGACTTGTTCCATCAAGTCTAGATTGAAGGGCCAAAAGTTGAATATATTATGAGAGAATGTGCAACAGATGTTTGCTAATTCTTGATTAGAATCTCCTTATTTCTCTCAAACTCTAGTTATTCTTACTGCAAGTGTTAGTAATTGCATTGGAGTTTGGTGGCTTGTTTTGAAAATCCTGTTCTGGTCCTCAAGAAATCTACAATTGAATTGATGCGTCCTCCATGTATTACTGGAATTTTGTTGTCCACCTTTAACGATATCACTGTGACTTTTCTTTTCTTTTTAGTTGTTGCTTTAACTATTCTAATTGGTGAACTTTCATAATGGAAGCAAGTTGCTGTTAGTAGTTATTCTCTGGTTGAAATGACAGCATGATTGCCATTCTGCAGGTGAAAGGTTGGGTCTTTTCTATTTCCATGGATGGAGTTAGCGAGCTCCAATTGAACCAAGTGGTGAAGAGCCAGTCTTTTCTATAAATGAGAACTGGAGTATAACTAGGAAAATTCTCACCTTTTCTATAAAAGAGACGATCCCAGGAACTACATTCTACAATATATATGAGAATGTTTTGAGTACTAGTTGTCAACTTACACAATACGTATGGCCTTTGTTTCAATACAACTTACAGTGTGTTGTGTATCTTATGTAATAAAGACTATATAAACTTATGAGAAATTTTATGAAATAGTTGACATTTGGATGACTCTGAGTTATTAGGTTTTGAATAAGAGTTTAGCTGACAATTAATATGAATTTACCTTGTATAGAATATGTGTTTTGTAAAGACTCAATACAAGTTGACTATATGCAAACAATGAATATAGATTTATGTGGTATTAAATATGAGATGACTTGGTATTGAGTTGAAAAATTGTTGCAGCCGTGTTGAATATGTGCTGTGTTCCTTTCAAATATGAGTTTATTGTTGAAAATTAGTTGAAATGCGCATAATATGACTTATCTGGTAATTTAGGGTTGTTAATGATCGGAGTCGAGCTTTGCCATAGTTCGGGCTCGGCTCGTTAATGTATATTGATCATCGAGTTCGGCTTGTGTTCGTCACGAGATTTAATATGCAAGCTCGAGCTTGGTTCGTTTATGAAAATGAAAGCTCGACTCGAGCTCGGCTAGTCAAATAAGTTTAACGAGCCCAAAATCGAGTTTAGCTCATAAAAGGTTCATAATGGCTCAAAATTGACCTAGAATTGAGCACAAAATTACATTCAAACCTGTAGCAACGTCTAGCAAAATAAAACACAATATTTATCCCAATTTCAATACATAAAATCCATGAATTCTAATCCTTTCTAATGCCAAATCGTTAAATGAGTTTGTTCTTGAGCTTTCAAGCTGAACATGGTATGGCTCGAGTTCGGCTCATTTAGTTAACGAGCTTGTTCACGAGCCAACTCGATTAAAATGAATCAAGTGCCGAACGAGTTTTTCTCGAGTCGAACGTCGAGTCGTTCATGAACGGCTTGGTTCATTAACAACCCTATCAAGTATTGAATATGATTTCACCTAACACTGAAAATGTGTTTACTTTGTAATAAATAGAGTTGAACTGACACTGAATATGAATAAGAATGTACTTAGTAGTGAATATGAGTTGGAGTCATATTAAGTATTCATTAAACTCATATTAAGTGTCAACCCCCTTAAATAGAGTTTACTTGACGTTGAATTGACATTGATATGAATTTACTTGGTAGTGAATATGAGTTGACGTATAAAGTGTTCATTAAACTCATATTAAGTGTTAATCTCACTCAAATAGAGTTTACTTGACATTGAATTGAGAGTAATTATAAATTTACTTGGTAGTGAATATGAGTTGAACTCATATTAAGTGTTCATAAACTCATATTAAGTGTCAACTCCACTCAAATAGATTTTAATTGAGCTCAACTGACATTGAATATGAATTTAACTTGGTAGTGAATATGAGTTGAACTCATATTAAGTGCTCATCAAATGCATATTAAGTGCCAATTATTCCACTCAAATATAGTTTACGAACTGAGTTTTGTTGACATTGAATATGAATTTAATTTGTAGTGAATATGAATTGAACACATATTAAGTGTTCATTAAGCTCATATTAAGTGTCAACTCTACTCTCTTCTGTAAGAGTTGAACTTACATTCGATAAGGCGCAACTCATCTTCCAAGTCATATTACATACAAAATAGGGTGCAATTTGTATTTGAAATGAACCCACCACATATGCGATAAATATACATCGTAGTATTCATTACCTAAGAAATTTTTAAGAAGGAATTCAAGGCTTCTGTAATTGATTTGGTAGCAGTGAGTTCCGTGCCGTACGGGGACAATCTCCGGTATGGTCATGTTTCTCTTAATTCTGATGCGAGCGAACGGTAAAGGCCATGCATCCCAATCGAGATCAATGAATCCATCACAAAAATTCCCTATAGTTTTAAGTAGATCGATGCTTTTGATGTGCAGTGGGATGTTGAAGGCAAGGATCCAGCTTGTTGCAGACTGGATATCTATATTATCCCAGTGCGCTCCTTGACCCCTTCTGAACCTACGTCTATGAATCTTCCTTCTTGGTTCTGCTTGATATGACATCTGCCTCCCCCATATCTGACAGCGTCCGCGTACGATATAGACTGATCAAGGTAGTCAGGCTTGGGGACAGAGTCGGGCAGTGCTGAGGACGCATAGCAGCCCTGATGAACACGAGCCTGGAGCTCCATCTTATAGAAATCTTTCAGGAGATGGATGAGTTTTGCCCATCCACGGTTATTACCAGAGGCCGGGATCAAAACCTTGAACACCCTGCCGTTATAAGTTTGCTCCGAGATTTGTAGGAACTCTTCGCGTCTCCGGATTGACTTTCCGATACGAGATCCGCTCTTCTTAATACTCATGGATGAAAACCTCCAATCTTTCATTGCAGCTGTCTGAAGAATCCCCTGTAACCAAGTAATCTGACACTCGTCGAGGAAGACGAACCAACTCTTTCTGCTATCTTTCACCTGCAGTTTGTAAGTTCCCACTTTGTCCTTGTCAGTTTTACTGATGGTGACCATCTTCGCACCCATTCTCATACGCCTCCAACTTTCCTCGCGCGAGCCCCGCTGACCTCTATCCCTTCGGCATCGTACCTGCACAACAAAGACAAAGAAGTTCGCTGATGAGTCATGTCCCCTTTGCTCTCAATCTCTCCTGAATCACTCCCCTGATGCTTCCTTTCATCCGTTGGTAGCTCGGCAACGGTTCGACTATCTCCCTCGCTCCCTCTCTCTCTCTCCATGGTTTACTGTTTTAGGCCCACACATAAACAAAATTCTCAAAACAACGTTACTGCTCCCTGCCATTCTGGTTCATGTCTTTCTTGAGTGTTGATCGGAAGGCTTTCTGTTTCGATGTTCTTGTCTTTTCAGGAGGTCGCCTTGCTCTTTGAGTCTTTTGATGTCTAGCGATCGTTTCTTTCTGTTTCGATGTTCTTGTCTTTTCAGGGGGTCGTCTTGCTCTTTGAGTCTTGTCTTTTCAGGAGGTCGCCTTGCTCTTTGAGTCTTTTGATGTCTAGCGATCGTTTCTTTCTGTTTCGATGTTCTTGTCTTTTCAAGGGGTCGTCTTGCTCTTTGAGTCTTTTGATGTCTAGCGATCGTTTCTCAGTCGCCTTCTGGGTTCTCATTTTTGTCTTTTTTTCTAGTTGTTTTTAAGGTTCAGCCCTGCTGAACTTTGTTTCCTTTGTACTACCTTCTCTCCTCTTTAATTTAATTTCTCAAATTTATCAAAAAAAAAAACTATGAATGGCAGGGAACTAATCCAATATTCACTTCTAGGAAAAAAAGTGGGATCTCCAGCGTGACTTCTGTTCCATAGCCTCCCTTTCCACATTGTTGCTGCTACAACAAGGTAAGTTTTTGGGTTTGATAATCCTGCAAACAAGTTGTAAGGGTTCTTCTCGTTAGGCTAGAAGTTATAGAACACAAACACTAAGCTCTCAGCCTCCCCTAAAAACTGCCTCACCCACTCGAACCTATAACCCAGCGCCGACCCAATCGTCGTCCCACAACTCTGGTGAAATACAGGTACAAAACGAGCGCCAAATATAACTACCTGAAAAGGGTGAGCTTCTCCAAATTCCTTGCAGCCTTCCCGTCATTATTCGAAGCCTCTCTTTGTGCCTCTATGGACCACTTGATCGGCATCATCGCCTGGAGAGTCTTGCATGTGCAAGATCCCTTAGATCTGGTTCTTCACCCACCAGTATCTCCAGGCTGTTGGCGAATCCCTTTCTCACTGTATGAATTGACGACACAAATGGTTGTTTCGTCTCCGAATGGAGGAGGGAGAGAGCAAGAACAGAGGGCAGAGAGAAGAAACCTAAAAAAACATAGTGATAGTGCCGATGGAGACGACAAGGACGAGCATTGAGTCCAACACACTTATGCAATCGGACGAACGAGGTCTAGAAATCGACGAAACCTAGAGACTCTGCAACTCGGACCGTCTGGCGGAGTCCTTGATTTGTTTGGGAAGAAACAAGAGTAACTTGAGAGATATTGTTGGCAGAGGAACTAGAGGGAGAGACATGGAAAAATAAAAAATAGGGGTTAATTGCATGGTTGGTCACTGAGATTACAAAAAGCGTTCAAGTTTGGTCACTCGAAATATTTAAATCCATCGATGGTACTTCAGTTTACTGAAACCGTTCACGTTTGGTCACTCTCCGTCCAACTCCGTTAACTTTTACTGTTCAAAGTTGACCGTTAACTTAATGACGTGACAACTGAAAAATTATTAAAAAATAAAATTTTATATTTACATTCATTAAAAAATAAAAAACCTATTTTGTTTTCTACAAACCCCATACCCGATGTTGGATCTAATACTATCTTTAACCTGCTCTGTTGCATTGTTTTGACTGTTGTTCTTATCTTCTTCAAATGGCTCTCTACTACAGCTCGACTGCCACTCCCGCCGGAGCCGGCGGCATACTCCGATCCGGCGCCGTGAAGGACCACAGCCTCTTCACTCTCAGCTCCGCTACTTTCTCCCACAGTAATGACTACTCTCCCACCACTTGCGCTTCGTTGCGAGCTTCTGCGGATTCGGCTCCCAAAGCCCGGTTCGTGGCACGGCGGAAGGAATCTATCTCCGTCAGCCAACTTGGGCGCCCTCTAAGTAGTGTTAGGATAAGCGTATGTTATTTTCACTTCGTGTCAGGGATCTGGGTTTGCTTGTTCTGATTGAGGGTTTTCTTGCTTGGTTGGCAACTTTGTAGCGGAGTACATGAGCTTGCCGGCGAGTCAGTACTCGGTGCTGGATGCCGAGAGGATAGGAGGGTGGATGACAACAAGTTCAGGTGTTGATCGTATGATCGTATGAGGAATCTCTGATTATTGAATTTGTTCTGATGCCAGAAGCAATTTTATAAGTAAATTTCCCCGAAATCAAAGCTTTTATGTATATGCACACTTTTGATTGCTGCTTCTGATATTTAGCTGCTTGTCCTGTGATACTAAGAACTTGGCTCTCGTGGCCGGGATGTCGCTGGATCTGAACCTGACTCGCACGCGGATCTCCGACGAGGACGATTACTTGACCTTCACGGCCTCCACCAGGGAGAACAGCAACAGGAACGAGCGCAACTTCACGATCCTGCGATTGACATTCGACGGGATCATCGAGGACCTCAGCTCATCCCGGTCGGTCCTGCCCAGCGACCGCTGCGACGGTAACAGCACGGCGGATGGGTGCGCTTGGTATGGGGTTTGTAGGAAAAAAATTAGGTTTTTCATTTTCATTTTATTTTTTAATGAATGTAATAATAAGGTGGAAAATATAAAAATTTATTTTTTATTTTCTAATAATTTTTTAGTTGCCACGTCACTAAGTTGACGGTCAACTTTGAGAGTTGACTGCCACATCAGTCAAAGTTAACGGAGTTGGATGGAGAGTGACCAAACGTGAACGATTTCAGTAAATTGGAGTACCATCAATGGATTTAAATATTTCGAGTGACCAAATTTGAACATTTTTTATAATCTCAGTGACCAACCGTGCAATTAACCCTAAAAAATAGACATAATTTTTCTCTTTGTCTATAGGCCCTCTTTGTAAAATACATCAGCTGGCTCAATTAAGCCGGCTTTATTGTCATTTCCCCTTCCCTAAGCCCATCCTCCATATCCAATCCCCTACTCTCGATCGAATCACGGAGGCGACGGCCTTGGTGGATCTCAAGGTGAGGATGTGAGAGTAAGCGAGCCTCGACGCTGAACAAAAGCCGGCGACTGGCAATGATTATTTCACCTCAATTGCCTAACGGGGAGGTTGATAGAGGGGAAAACGCTGCGATCTGGTAGTGCAGCGACGACGACGGTGATTGTGAATGAGCTCTGTGCTCACCCGACGACTGTGACTGATGAAAACCCTCGCGGATTTCAAGAAGAAGGCTCGAATCTATGCTATACATTCTCTAGGAAGGCGATAAAGAAGGGTTTTCTGTCTGTTTTGTGCTAGTCGATGTGAGGTTGGCGAAGGGTTCTGTCGATGGGAATTGGGGATGTGTGGCCGACTGGGGAGTTGGAGAGTTGTGGCCGGCTAGGGAGTTGAGGAGGTGGGGATTTGTGGTCAGAGATTCAATTGGGAAGGGAGGGGATGACTTGACGTGGAGCGGCGCAGAGATGGTGGGGTTTTGGTAGCTAGGGTTTTTTTAAGTTTATATTTTTTTCTACAAATAAATTAATAAAATTGAAAAAAAAATCACGTCATATGCCGCATCACCGTTGATTGTATTTTCTTTTAAATACTAACGGTCAACATCAGTCAATTCTAACATAAATATAGTTTGAGATATAAATGAAATATTGAATAGTTCGGGACACAAATGACACTTTCTTGATAGTTCGGGTTTCCTAGTGATATTAGCCATATTTAAAATGACTCGATCTTTGTACTAAAATACTAATTTTATCTTAATTTTCTTAAATGTCCATTGTTACCTAAACTAATGTCTATTTAGAAGAATTTATCTCAACCCTTGGATTTCAATCGAGTTGGATACGATAAATCTCAAGTTTTCAAAGACGAGAGAGGAGTAAGAGATGACCATGGAGTCGAAGGACACTATCTACTTCGATGAAGAAGTTGAATGTGCGACAGATGCGGTGAACGGGGTCCTGACCTGGTACGACTCGTTTCTTATGAATTTGTTGAAAAGTGAGAGGGGCACCGTGCAAATGCCGATGAGGCTCACCGGAAGGGGGGATGACAAGGGAGGGAGGGGGAACGTCGAGGGAGTAGGGATGGCAAAAAAATCGTACCCAGCGGCTATCCGATCTAATCGGGTGGGTAAAATATGATTTCAGATGGTTTTTAATGGGTATGGGTATAATTCGAACTCGAATATTGAGGGTAATGGTTGGGTATGATTTTCTCACTGTCCAGCCCAAACTCGTCCGATCATACACATGTATATGTATATTTTTTTAAATGAGCATTAAGCTTTTATATTTATTATACATATATATTGTTTTAACTAATTGTATTCCTCATAGTAGTTTATTTGTTTAATTTTCACTTATATAGTGTTAGTTTATGGGTAATTGTTAACATGTTGGTTGAAGTTACAAAGAGAAATTATTATCCGTGGATAACTTTTGGCACTTGAAATTCGATCGGGTATGAGTATGGTGTTGATATTCTACCCAATCCTTATATGAGTATGAGTATAGATAAAATCCGAACTACGTTAAATAGGATAATGAATATGCAATGTCCGCCCTCGATCCGACCTTTTACCATCCCTATTAGAGAGGGTTTGGGTCGACTGTGAGGAGAGAGGAGCATATAAGGAGTGCTTTATTTTATTGGTTTAAATTGTAAATATTATATATTAGGAATATTGTGATTTTTTATATTTTGAATGTTTGGTTATGATGACATAGCACGTTTACCGTTAGTGAATGGTATTGGCTATCCGACTTTATGGTCAACCCATGTTAGCCCAGATTAGTCTAAATAGACATAAGTTTATGTCATGATGAATATTTCAGAAAATTATAGCAAAATTAGTCTTTTAGTGTAAATTTCGGAGATTTTAAACTATTAAACCTAAATCATACGAGGTAAAATGTTAAGCATAAATTGAATATTCTATTTCCAGCCAAGTTGATATTCAATTAATTCCATCTGGCAATGTTTTCATTAAATGTCGCCAAGTTAGCGAAAACGTTAGTCCAATAAGCATCTAAAATGTCATCGTTAAAGTTTTGAACCGAATTGGACATGTTGTAGATTTATGAGAAATTGGTTATTACTGTCACAAGCAAGATTTGTGAAACCGTACCGGAGAAGTCAGCGTGAAGGTATTTTATGGAGAAACTGTGGTTTAACTATAATTCAATCATAGTTTAACCGTAGTTCAACCGTTAATACCGCTAAATATCGCTTACCGGCTTAGTCTCCGGTACTAGTATTTTGTGGTTGAACCGCCAGTACGATATGATTTCACAAATCATCATGTCACAAAATTTATAGTTATTGCTACATAAGTGTATTTTTCCAAAACATATGATATTTTATGTGTTTACTAAATAAAAAGACATGATCACGTTCAAGTATTCATTGACGTGTTCATGTGTCACAAAATTACTAATAAATACCAATATAATTTAGCCAAGTGTCACCATAATACACGACAACTCTATGTGTAAGAATGTGACTGTTGTGGAAAAGTTGGTCGTATATTCTGTTTTAACCCAGTTATCTTGATATGTGCTAAACACTTTGGTCAATTGGTAAAAGAAGTCTCATAAACAATCAATCACCACAAAAAAGACAGGCAGAAGTGACGAAATCCTTCTGACGACACTGTTTTTTTGTTGGAAATAAACTTTTTTGTGACAAAAATTTGCCATCCTCATAAAAACATAAAATATTTGTGATGAACATCAAAAGTCGTCAATAAAGCCCAAAACATTTGTCACTAAAACTCAAAATCACAAATACGAGGAACGCCATCTCAATTTTACTGAGGACATTTCAACTTTTGTCACAAATACAAATTATTTATGACCAAATTGAAATAGGCATCAGAAATAATCTGTTTTTCTGACGCCAAAAAAGGAGGGGAAAATTCCTGAATTTTATTTTTGAGGACACAAATTTTTCATCAGAAAATATTGTTGGAAATAGTATTATTTGTTAGGAATTTCCCTATCTCTCAGAAAAACAAAACATTTTTATGAGGGAACGTATTTGGTCGTCGATAGAAGTTTGTTAGAGAAGTGGTTGGACAAAATGGTCATCACAAATGATTAATTCCTTGAAAAAACTTCATAAGGAAAACACTTTTTGTGAAGATTTTATATGTCGTCAATAATATGCAAACAATGTCGTCACATATAGAACATTATTGACAAATTTCGCTTGTCAGAAAAATTACGTTACATATGAACAAAGTCTTAGTTTTAAGAGTTGAAATTAAAATTAACCTTAAAGAAAAGGTCATGGATGTACTCGAACCATGGATCGCTTGTTCATAAAACAAAGTCGAGATCAATTAGACTAATTACATTTTATGTTAAATTCATGTTTCGTTGAGTATTTATTCCTAACCAAAATCTATAAGCATAAGAGAGCTCTCTAGCTTCTCTCCAAATTGCTTCCAAATACTTAATTACTTGTATTTTAACTAAATTTTAAACCCTAAAACATGAATCCTGAACCCTATAAAATACTAAACATTGTACCCTAAATCCTGAATCCTAAACCTTAT